ATCTTTGATGCACTCCAGGAGTCTCCTGGATTGCTTACAGCCTGCTGTGCTACTTTTCCAGCAGATGTTGGGGTGGTTGAAGTCCCCTCAGCAGGACAGGAGCCTGTGAGCACAATGCCTTCTGTAGCTGGAGTAAGAAGACTTCATCAATAAGCTCCCCTTGATCAGGCGGCCTGCAGTAGACATCAACCACAAAGTTCCCTTTGTTGCCTCTGTCTCTTATTCTTAACGATAGGCTTTCAACCTGCTTGTGGCTATTCTTCAGAGACAGCTCTTCACACTCTATACATTCCTTGACGTAGAGGGCAATGCCTCCACCCCTCCTACCTTGCCTGTCTCTTCTGAACAGCCTGTAACCATTGATAGCCACACTCTAGTCATGGGATTCGTCCCACCAGGTATCAGTAATGGCAACTAGGTCATAGCTTTCTAGCAGCATTGTGGCTTCCAGCTCCTCCTGTTTGTTGCCCATGCTGAGTGCATTGGTGTAGAGGCATTTCAGCCGGGCTGTTGGACGTGTAACCTTCTTAGAGGAACACCCGTTAAGTCCTTTGGGGAACTTCACCGGCGTATCCCTCTTGGCTCCCACTACCTTAGAAGTCCCTGACTCATCTCCATAAGACTTCAAGTGTCCTGCAGTGTAGCCAGCACGTCTCAGAGCAACAGCCTGTGGGCCCTCACTTGCACCTCGTCCCTGTTACCTGTCGTCCCACAGCTTCTCACGGTGAAGACTGATACTGTCCCCCTGCCCCCTCAAGCCTAATTTAAAGCTCTGCCATGATCTTCTGTTTAAAGCTCTGTATGATCTCCTGTAACACTTGATGCCAAACATGTGCAAAAACTAAAAGTTGAGGGAGGTTCAGAGGAGTAAGAAATCTCTTGCAGAGCATGCACCTTATCCTGTCCTGTCTTCTTTTCCTTCCCCCCCCCTCCCCCCCTCCTTTCATTCTTTCTTTCTTTCTTTCTGTCTGTCTTGTGCATGTTACTGGTAGCTCAGGTATGTGTGGGTGGCACTATTTTTTTATGAGACTCTGTACCAAAATTAAAGGAGGTCAGCTCTCAGTAACCCATAGCTTTCTAACTTCTCCAAATGATGACTATACAGAGCTACTATACTGTTTTGTGCTGACTTTGCAGCTGTTCTCTCTTTGAATCCTGAGGTTTTCCCCTGCCCATCCAGCTGCTGAAGAAAGGCAGATGTGTGAGCAGGTTAAATCCAAAAGAAAGAAAAGCCACGAGGACGGTAGAAGCTGGGTTGGTCCAGAGAAAGCTCTTGCCGTTTTGCTCTCTCAGTTAGGTATGCTCAGGACTTGAAACTGCTACCAGGAATTCTGCAGTGCCAGGAAAGGAGAGTGGAGAAAAAAACAATGCTGGTGGGTGTGTGCGTGGGAAAAGTTAAAAACTGGTTTCTGCAGACTTACGGTGGACTACAATTTACTACAGCAGTTTAAGGAAGGAACCAGAAAAAAAGTAAAACAGCTAAATCTGAGGCACCTAGAGCTTGTAGACCTTGTAAAGAATATATATTTTTAAACACTTATTCATTATGGATGCTTAAAAATAGCTTTTATTTAAATGCTTAAAATAGCTTTTATTTCCAATGGAAATTTTAATTTTTTAAAATCAAGGGGTTTTTTTCCCCTCACTTTTTAAATGTGGCTAACAAACAAGCTGGAGTTCTGAGGATGGGGAGCAAAATGGGGCGCATAGGGCAGGAAGATAAGAGATTATCAAGAGAGTAACTTGCTACTATTTGGGCAGAGGACAAAGTTTTCATTTAAACACCTTTTCACTGGCAGCTTTCACATCTTCATTTTTGCTTGTTGGTGTAATTTTTTCTCGTCAAGCAGTTGGAAAAATGATGTATGTCTAATCCTTGCAGTTAATGAAAGATAATTACATGCTAGTTAAGCAAACCATCTCCTTCAGGATGAAGAGAACTGTATAATGGATAAAACAGAGCTGATGAAGAATAGTTGTATCATGTAACATTTCTCACTGAAAAATATTGAATTGTGAATGTTGCAGCAAAAGCATTAAAACATTGGCCTAAAGCCAAAGCAAGGGAAAAAGTAGAAAACACTTGCAATATTCAAAATAAGATGGTACTGATGCTTACAAACTTAAAAGTGCCTTTTCTATCCAAAATTATATACTTGTTTGCAGTAAAAACACAAAAATGAAACAGGGTTGCACAAAACTGTTAAACTATTATCATTGACCCGGACCAAAAAATTGTATTGACAAACAAGAGACTTGTGACTTTGTTCCTATATTTGACAAAGCTCATTTACAGCAAAAAAATAACTTGACCAAAAATAATCAGTTCAGGGCCAAATCCCACTTACTCTGAAGTCAATGTCAGCGCCAGTGGGAATTCAAGAGCAAGACTGAGTGCATGTCTAACATGTAGGCGACATTAATATTTTGTCTATGCAAGCTTAGAATAAAAAGTATAAGTGAATTGTGCATTTTTCCTTAAAATAAATAAATAAATAAACTCCATAATGACTCACCATTTTTTATTACATTTAACTTTACTGGGTGACAAGGGAAACTTCATTCAGATTTTGCAATATTCTTATTTATTAAAAGTTACAGGCACTATTTTTCCCACATTGTTACATCTGCCCTTCCAACTACAGACAGAGGGGCTGAATTTACATGTAACGGTTTGGAAATCTCTCTCCAGGATCTAAAAATAGCCTTTCAGTTTATAAGAATTTTGCAATGATAAACTACATCTTGTAGTTTGTTAAAATGGGAATGCTGAGTGTGATTGGAGAGAAGGAATTCCCAGATCTCCACAGTTAAGTAAATTTGTTGCCATACTTGTTGTTCTAATATGTTGTTCTAATACTTAATAGTAAAGTATTTCCCAATCTCATCATTAACTGTCTTAAGACTTGGACTAGACTAACTTTGAGAACACTTCATGCTGAGGTAGAAGAAGAAAGCACTTCTTAGCAGGAATCTTTTCCCAGTTTTTATATCATGGAGATTTGGGATATGATGAAGCAAAGCAGTGGTGTAGTGAGAAGTGAAGACAAAAATGGACTGTATACTTGCAGCAGCCTCGGAAATACTTAAGAGGCAAATCTGTCCTTGTAGTTAATAGTAACATATAAGGGGAAGGAAAGGTGGTGTTAATAGCCAAGAAGGAATGAGGAAAAGGTGATGATCTTGTCATGAGTACCAAAGGCCTACGAGGCGTTAACTTGTTTTAAAATCCTCATGTTCAGTCGCATTTAGTTTATTTCATATAACCAAACACTTTTTTTTTTTTTTTCAGATTTAAAAGCTCGCAGCGGTACCAGTACTTTAATCTTTGCCTGAAGATAACATACAGCCCTTTTGAAGGACTTTTCACCACTACCTTTTGAGAACTGCGTAAAATGAGATCTTAGGAGCCCCAGTCCATGACTCTGCATCTCCTTCTGGTAATCTGCTTGTTCATACCAAGGCAGGCAGCTGTTTCTTTGGAAATGCTGTTTATTTTTACTTATATGCACGCAGGCCTGGCCCCTTACAAAGCTAATGATCAAATGAGTGCAAACCCCTCACGAGTGGTATTTTTCCGTCAGGACCTCTCCCGCGGGGAAGTTCCTCGGTGGGGTAAGGAAGGGACATCCCATGGGAGCTGGCAGACGGGGAAGTAAGGGCAGAGTGGCTGGGGCAGAAAGCTGCTGCATTTGCAAAGCACGTAACGTTTTGTCGTTGTTTGAGAGGTTTTGGCGAGCAATGGAGGGATGCGTTAGTAATTACGGCAAATTACACTTGATAATTGCATTTTAAAAGAGGGGATCACTTCACCTACTGGAATTTCGCGCAGCGATTGAATTACAGTGTTATTACTTATTTTTACACCCTGCTTCAGGGTAACCGAGTTCACGGACTCGGCCCTCGGGCTGGGCGGCGGGCAGCAGCCCCGGCAGCCCGGCCTGCGCCCCCCAGACCCCGCAGCCCGCCTGCGCGCGATTTTTAGCCAAGAACTGCGGGGTTTGGGAGTAG